TGACCGCCATCCCGACTCACCCACCACGTCACCCTGTGCGCCCACCACCCTTTTCGCAACTGACACGGACACCACCGACTTTACCTGCCCACACTGTCCACGCACATTCACCTCTCGCATCGGCCTTGTCGGTCACTTGCGAATCCATCGCACAGAGACTGGCGAACCAGTGCCTGGGACACCCATCTACACCCACCGCACTCGCCTCCACTGTCCACATTGCCCTCGCACCTTCACGCATCGCGTGGGCCTATTCGGCCATATGCATATCCACGAAGATCTGCGGTAAAAACCGCCGGCTGCACAACACCATCACACCATCCCTCCCTGCCTCCACCACCAATACCACCCAACCACACATCAACACACCCACCACAAGCATCAGTGGCGGCAGCTCCCTGCTGGACCACATATGCTGGTGGCTATAAACTTATTGGAATCACTGCATTAAAACACGACTTTTCTGATTTTTCGGAAATGATTTTGGAGCTTTAGGACTAAAGTCTTATTCCCTAAATGAATCGACTTACCAAACACTGTGTTCTTCTGTACTCATCGAGGTATCGCAAGAACGGTTTTGGTGTGCGTTTCGACTAATGACGCAGTCGGCTCCAACACGATGATATTGTTTACACTTATTTCCCGTGTCGCTGACGGTCTCCCCTTAGTCGCTTCTGTGAAGGAGGATGAAGAGGTAGAAGTTTTTAACTGGGTCTTCGTTTTACACTGTGTCATTTTTGTTTACTCTTTTTCATCTGCCAAAGTTGTCACATTGTTTGAAAAAGATACCCAAATAATGCTTAAGCATTTTTCATGTTGTAGAGTGAGTAGGAAGATTTATGTGTCTGCATATACAGTTTTACATCGGCGAAGTATTTATTGGTTCTGATAGTTTTTGTGTCCTTTGGGGAGCATAGCATACATAACAATGATTATGTATGCATTTCTTTACTTTGTTAGTATTTATCAGAGCCATTTGAGACCCAGGTCACGCAAATATTCCTCTTGTCGATTCACCTTCTGTATATGTTTGGCCCTGAATGGCTCCTTAATAGGTTTCTGTCTTGTATTTACGTAAATAGGGTTCCATGTTCTCTCGGGTTTCTCGTCAGTGTGATAGGCGATGGGAGGTAATCGTGAGAGGTTGAAGTCGGACAGAGGCTCACGACTGACAGTTGGTTGGCAACGTATGCTGGCACCTAGTCGATTACACAGCACATTTGCCAGCGATGACCTAGCTATATGCTAGGGAATCGCTGTCGGAAATTTCAACGTACACCTTCATTCGTTATTTACATTCGTAGTAGACGTGTTTTTCATTGCTGGGGTATGAACGATCGTCATGTTTAAAAATAATTTTTTACTTTACGCGGCGGCCGTTGGCCTACGGCAGACGGTAGTAGCGTTTTCGTTTAGCTGCGGGAACTTATTCATTCATTCCAGAGGCGCTTGACTGCGTGATCATACAGACATTTACATGCCGCGAGTATTGCAGCTTTTGAAGGCTTGGTGTAGGAATAGCACTGTCTGTTTGAAATTCCGGTTAATAATTAACCAAGTAACTCCTATTTACCTCGTTTCCCATGCAAATTTGTTCAATTATTATGTCGACTTTCTTGTAGTTCATCCAAATAAGATCGGTTATTTCATTTGAAAAATGGCTTACTTCTTGCCATTTCTGCGGTCTTTCCTACAGACTAAACAGTACTGTTGTAGATGATGGAGAAATTATTTTCCTTAAGCTGTCCTTGTACCCCGCTGGGAAATTACAGCTAGAGTGATTGAAACTCACCTTTATACATGCTTTCCAACCTCTTAAACATCAGTAATAACCTAAGATATTCATAGGAGAACTTATATTCTACACAAATAATGATGAGAATTTTAAAAATCCGTAAATTCATTATCTTCTTAGTTGGTGTTTTTCAAAAAACGACCGTACTCGATAGTGATGCTACTATGGTCCTCCTTCATGCAAACAAAATATCTTTCCCCTGCTACGAAGTCCAGGTATCATGTGATTAAGCACTAAATGCGTGTCCCAACTGACCGTATTCGGTAGTGGTGACCGGACGGTACGGATCTGCGTTCTGATTCAGGTAGTAGGAGCGGTCTATAGACATCTTCGAAAACCTGCAAAATCGTGCGGGCGATGTTGCTTCCGACAACGATGCTATCAATGCTCTGCCCGCTGGGCAGCAGTTTGGCCTCGGAATATCTGAAACTGACCACTCCTTCAAGTTGATTTCCAAAATAGGAATTGGCGCAATGTTCGTGTCATAGATGTGCTTGAGAAGAATTTTGCTTTTGCTGCGTCGGTTGATGAGCCAGCTGATTTAGTACCCTCCACCACTGTAGCAAGACGATATCGGCGGCCTAGTAGACCTGTAAGTCCTATGCCTAAAAAACCCCACACAAATCACAATAGTGACGTAGCTAGCTCCATTATCTGTCATAGTCGAGTCAGCAAAGCTGATTATCTTCGGTCCCTGGTACCATGTTTGAATTGGATGGTTCCGTGATGCTAGTGTTCAGTTGGTTCATTCATGTTCAGCTCGGAATCCAGGTTGGTTAGGTCTTGTCTTTGCATGACGCTCACTTTGTAATATTCGAAGAACTACGACGACAGTCATCGGTAAAAACTCGATTCCAGGGTGAATTTTAGTCGCACCGTGTATCGGGGGTCCGCCTAAGTGTCGATACAAGATCCCAGATGGGATTCTGTATCTTCCAGCGTCCTGCTATGTGGTCTCAGTATTGTACTAATTATTCATTTCAGGTAAGAGGAATAACACAAGATCCCGTAGACCCAGGAAGAATGAAACTCTGCCCTTGATGGGGAGTAATTCCTGATTGGCCATCGAAATTTTGAAATTGTCCCAATTACTCACGTCGGCTCTTGATCTTGTTTGAATTGTGAATGCTAAATCCTCCATCCGCATTAAGCATCGAGCCAATCAGTTTACCAGACAGAACACTGACTTGGCTAATAAATGCATATATCTTCAAGTTCTGCGTATCTTTTGAGTCTGTTTACTTGATGTCGACAGTTTGATCCTAGCTGGTTTTATCGTCGTCTTGCCTATCTGCCGAGAGATATCATCATTGCGCAATCTAACTTGAACTCTCCTAACAGAGTTCGAGGGCATTTAAACTAACTTGCTAATTGTGGCGTTGCTGGATTAATACAAGACTCCCCTTTCGATTCGAGCCGCAGAGCGAGACCGGATTTCTACGTCTGGAAGTTCGACTGTCGTAATTTTAAGATGTCAAGGATCGCCATCTGGCTCACAGTATCAAGTTACACCGTTTAAATGGTATTATTTATGGGATTGTCCCGAGGGGATACATTGATATTATACGTGATTCGAAAAACCTAGTTTACCGCATTTCTGATTCTTTTGCTTGTCTGGATCTGCTCGTAGTCAGTGACATTGCACACACCCTCCTGGCTGACTTGAGGCCAAACCTTTGGAGTTATACGCTAATGTAATACTTTTCGAATGACCTGCTCTCCAGCTCAGCAGAAACCTCGTCGAATATCAGCACCAGGCAAAACTGTTAATTCGTCGTCTGACCCCTGGATCTCCGTCGCGATGCTCCTTGTTGGCCGGTTCCCATCATTTCCATTACCTTCTGGAGGCCGGTGTCTGCTACCTTATCCTAGCCTCTGCCAACTTCCCGCGTCAGAAGGCATTTTCCTTCTTGGAAGAAGTACAGACCCAGTTTTCAAATCAGTATGCGAATGAAATCTTTACTGTTTCCCGGCCCTACGGCTTTATTGAATTTGGTAGGCCTTCAATTTAGTTTTTACGACGGAATTATAGATAGAGACCTTCAAAAACTGCAACAGAAGTACACTGACACTCGCGTTTCTTCGAACGTTTCGCAGCTGAACGTCGCCCTGCAAGATGTGCAGAGAATTATGATTCAAAACATTGATGACGTGCTAAAACGTGGGGAGGCCTTATCGGGTAAGTTTTAATTTCGACCTGCGCACTACCAGCTCTTTTGACCTATACATACCGACGCCGGCACCATAATTGGCGTGTTCCAAAGGGTTGAGACCTCGTGGCCGGAGCGACCGGCGAACACTCCGTGGAAGAGAGTGGGCCGATATTTCAAAGAGCACAGAAAATCCAATTACCGTAAAAGATACAGCTATCTGTACGCCGTTTTCGGAGGTTTACTTGTAGTGCTATGATGAGAGCACGGAGTACACTACGCATGCGGACGTTTTCAACTGATGTCTGGAATGCCAAGTACGAGAATTCGGAGGAAATTCGTCTTAAGGACTAAAAGACAGCACACTAGTTTTAGTCCTTCTTACCCGCCTAGGCGACTCTGAAGACCACTGGCTTTTCTCAGCAGGTGTTTGCTGCAACTAGTCACCACAGCAAACCCTAACCTTAAATCTTAACCGTTAACCCTAACGGCAACCCTAACCGAAATCGTAAACGTAACCGTAGCCCTCAGACATAGCCGTAATTGAAAAACCTAACCGTAATACTGAAACCTAATCGTACGCTCAAACCCTAACCGTAACCCGAAAACCGAAGCCGTAAGGCATAACCGTAACCCGAAAATCGGAAACCATTAACCGGTCCCCTAATCCTAACCTCAAACGTAAAACGGAAGCCAAATGGGTCAGATGTCATTATGGAACCCCACCAAATAGCCCCAGTAAGCAACCCCCCCCTCCCCAGCCACCTGTAATATGGGCCTGGCTACCAACTGCGATCTAACCGCGTCGGATGCCATTAACTGCGTCCTCGAGTCTCACCCACGTGTTCCGCTCTTCTCAGTCTTTTCTCGCCGCCCGGCTTTATCGGTGAATTCCGCGTCTGCTGGCATGTTTCCCAACAGGAATTTGGACTCAGTGGGCGTAGAGTACTGCACAATGTTATATATTATAATCAAGTAAATAAGAGGTATGACAGTCTTGTCGAGCGTCGTTAGTAGTGTTATCTACTGGAAATACCATCCTATTATGTATAGTTACCTTACAACAGGCCGCGCGGAAGATTGCTGGCTAACGAGGCGGCCAGATTAGGGCACGGCACGCGTCAGCCTAACTGCGCAGGATCCACGCATCCCATGACAAATGTCACACATGGGAAAATGTGGTGTCGCGCCTAGGCGCAGGCCCACGCAACTCCATCTACTTGCACCAAATTCTAGCATCAGGTGGATCGCCTGCCTGCTAGTGCGTGAGAGAGGGAATTGAGAGTGCGACTGACTACGGGACTGCGTCCCCACGGCACTTCAGCGCATTCCTCACCGTAAAAAAAACCAGTGTGCTCTGAAGCTATCACAATGCGCAGAAAGTCGTTGCCTCCAATTGACAGGATAACTCGACTTCCTCAGGCTGGAGAGTTAGGCGGCAATGATTCCTTCTGAATGTGGCCTCTATAACACTCTCACCCAGGAGGAATCTGGGTCCTCCCTCTCTGTTTCCTTGAAAACACGGTCCAGTGTGTGTGCGGCACGCGTAGTCGGGTCGTCTAGCAATATCACTCACTTGTCCCACAGTGCCCAGGGGGTTAAAACAGGGGAAGTGCGACGGATGTTGCACATGTCTGCTATCACTGTACACTAATTCACATGTAAGTCCTGCGTCCACCACGCTATCCTACACGGTTAAACTGGTGAAGCTACTCACGTTTGCCTGGATAAGCGTCTGTGGCTTTAGGATGTTTAAATAAGTTCCTACGCACAGTCTTCTCATGAAGGCATTTCCCCAAGGCGTTTTTCTCTACTATTTCAGAGAACATCTCCAAGTCCGGTAAGACTACTTGAACACCGCGTCAGATGTGCGGGCAGTCGCCAGTAAGCCACCCACGTGATCAGCTGGTTGACTATTTCCGCTGATAAAATCACTGTCAAAAGCACACCTGGTATTGGGGCGTCGCTCCTATTGGAAGAAACTCGAGGGGCACACTGCCGGTGCCTTCTGATTAAAGTTTTGCCTGTCGAAGACAGCGGTCGTTGGGAGCCAACTGAAGTGCTCTACCAAACTGTCTACATGAGCGATTCCCATGATATAATTGACGCTATATTCATATCCTACGGTGTGCCTAATGGAAAGGTACATGGTGTGACGTTCCTCTTTGAGAAACGTGTTTCTACCACTTCAGCTCTCATAGCTTATCTTTTTTTCAGTGACTGTTCTGAACTAAGCATCCGTCGGGCAATATCAGATCTGCACCTTCTGGTGTAAATATAGTCTATTGTCGACCGGAAATCAACTCCTGGGATATTCTTGACAAGGGTTGCGCTGGCACAAATGGTGGATTATCTGGCGTCAGAGCCGACGACATCACAACCCATTACAAATCATACCCATTGATCGTTGTCTAGTTGGAGTTTTATTGTAGAATATCGAAGTCAGTCGGGACCCAGCATCCTCTTGAGAACTAACTTCGTCGGATTTGACTGTCTCTGCTTGGCCGTTGTGACGGCGGCCCCAAACGAAGTAGGTGCTTAGGGATATAACTTCGTGGATGAGCTCTCCGTGCGCGCACTTAAATCATCTGAGACGGAGATCATCTACGGTATCACCAGCCTGTGCCTCCAATCATTATTGCCGCATCCAAGACATTGTAAATGAACTGAAACGTAACATTGCCTGAAATCATCAGTTCCAGGGCATCTCTATCTTTCTCAGGTCAGCAGCGCGTAGAGATCAAGTTCCGCCACCACAGAGCAGGATGTTTCGGATTGTGGCCTTGTACGCACACGTGTTTATCTTTCACCAAACACCGCAGCGGGACGAAAAACCTGCCAGGAGTCAGCTGAACATGTTGCGCTCCATCTAAACACCACAAGACCCTCATCCCTCAAGTTAGCAGACAGTTTGGTTCAAGGCTCTTTAACAACAATGGTGGGGACGCTCACCGATCGTTCTTACGGAACTCACTCGTTCCGTTGTGCCTTACGGGCTGTCTTTGGAGCCCAACCAGCAGCTGCACAGCGGCGCATGATATAGACGGAATGATATTACCGAACTGAACTAATTCGAGCATGGTCATTGCCTCAGCCAGTGCTTCAAAAGAAACGGTCCTCCCGGTCCAAGTCGTGTCGTCCAAAACACGACGACGACCATCAGCACATCAGTTGGCCAGTTTAGGCCAAGACGCTTTCGCTACAGTGTCTCATTTGCTCTTACTTGGCTAAACCCTTCTTTACGCACAAATTCGCCGACGTTGGAATGACGCCCTGATTACTTTCACGTGACTTCATCTGTTAGCCAGAGATTTCTTTCACGTAGCCGCTGCGCTGAACGGAGGTTTGAGGGGTCACATACGAGACCTGGACACCGTGTAGTTAGAATGGAACGGATCCACCATGCAAATAGGCCCTTGGTTAGACTGCCAATCCATCAAAGTGCTGAGGCCTTCCTGGGCACCCCATATACTCCGTCTGTAAAGCACTGATGTTTTATTGTCCTACGATTTACGCAAAGCATGGCTTGCCCCCTAAGTAACGCCGTGTCTCCTACCAACACCCATCGCCCTGTACTTAACGTCCACAATTCTCGAAGAACTACCCAACAGTGTCACAACCACTAGCCAACTATGCCCGAGTTTTGAACAGACCGCTCAAGCTGTCATCCAAGTACTTCTTTAGGATCTATTTTCAATCTCGAATGGGGTTGCGCTCTTTTTCCCTGGACTGCAGTGGTTCGGGGTCTACCCAAACAGGCTTAATGAGTGCACAAAAAATGCTAAGGCAGTGTGATCCTCCCTACTTTTTCTCTGGTCCATTTCTGGGTACCTGCCCATAACACTGTGCTTTTTAAGGACCAACGGATGGGGTCCCATCGCCCCTCTTCCTCATGACTCGTCTAAAACTAATACCTTTTCATAATTTCAGAATTGGATGCGCAGGCCAATGATCTTTCAGCCCTCTCTCGCAACTACCGGCAGGACGCAAATGCCCTCAACCTTCAGTCAGCCTACACAAAGTACCTAATCATAATTGGGGTCGTCCTAATAGTACTCTCATTTTTGTACTTTCGATTTTTGTGGTGAACGCCAACCGCTACTGCCGCATATCCCGCCATTTCCCCAGCTTTTGCCCGCCCTGTCAAGCTCACCTGAGGGTCAGTGTTTTGACCTCGCGCTTCATCACGTCCTTCTCTATCCCTCTTGTTCTTCCGCACGCTTTCCTTCGTTCTCCTCCTATGGATTTCGGGCAGACATGTCCTCACCTGAGGACGGGGACGCTCGAACTATGTCACAGCCGAAGAATTCATATTTTTATGCTTCGGGTTTGATCTGAGTTTAACTTTGGCGTATAAACTGGTACTCAATCTCTGGGGCTTTCTCGACTTCTTGCTCTCGGCGTAATTGCGTCGTATAAGCTTGAGTTTGATTAATCCGTGGTGAATTTGGTTAACGGCATTGCTGGAGATACAGCAGATCAGGACGGGATGACCAAGGCGTCCAGAAAAGCTGCTGGGAACCACGCTAGCTTATTCTCGACCAAGTTCTCGCTTCTACATTGCATGTTTCAAATGCATCTGATTTTCTATAAAAGGTAAACTCACGGCAGGGTGGGAAGTCGACCGCGAGTCGCCAACATCTGTTTCTAACTAGTATAAGCCCTGAGGTAGATTGACAAAAACGGGGTTTACTGGGACAGCGGCGTTTTCGGGCCTGTTCATGCCACCAGCCAACTCCCCCCCTCCCCGAGCAGCACCTGTTCGCTACCTGAAGCCCAGTAGACTAGTGCGTGTCCATTAAAATGGCGAATAAGAACATACCCCGCCTTATGTAGATGGCTCTGACGTCACTGATACCTGGGTTTTATAATTAGTCAACTCACCGGCAGTCGATACTCTCAGTCCAGCGCACCCTTGGAGCCTATTAAAAAAATTCAAATCGACGTATATCCGCCTCTATGGAAAGCATTTTTGCAGACCACAATATTTTAAAAAAAGTGCATAGTGAAAAAACGTGCTATTTCAAAGTCTACTGGTACTACTGTCCACGCGTCTAACCTGATTATAGGAAACAATAGGGACGGCCTGTTTTGTTCTAGCGCTTCAATACAAGGTCCTGTAGGCGACCTCATAGTCATGGGTGTAATAGTTTATTTTAGTTGTATTCATTTGTATTACTATGAGCTAAAGGGAAGGGACTGGAATGACCACTGGTGACATATTTGCGTCGTCGTTGACCAGCCACACTGCAGTCCGAGGCCGAAACGCCCGGGCTCGAAACCGGGACCCAGTTGACCATTAGACAGCATGCCCTGCCACATGGACCATGAGCTCACACACTCTCCGCTTTAGTTGAAAATATTCAAGACCACTGGAGGCGTTGGAGGATTAGGTCTGGTCTCAGAATGGGATACGGGCACTACGTTTAGGCTTGGAGCTTTTGTCTAGACCTCAATGAAATGATGAGTAATCAGTAATCGAAAGGCAGCAGTGGGGAAGACGAGGTTAAAATTCCCCCTCGAGGCCGCTTCATCCCCATCAGTACTTTGAGCCTGACGATGGCAAGTAGGCCGGAAATGGCCACTGCAGTTTGTTTACTTTGTCGTCAACATATCTTAACTAAGTGCTCCGAAGTAATGGCCGTCAGAAGACCAATCAGTTTGCTATGTGACGTTGACATACATTTCGAGGGAGGGCTGACATTTAATGTTTATAATTTGAGGACATTTCTCAAGTCTATGCCGGATGTGGTCTCCCTGCCTAACAGCTCTTTGCTGCAAGTAAGTGGTCTTTACGCTATGCGAAGCATCTGCGCCTACTTTTACTTTTTAATACTCGGATTTCGTATATCGTTGCCCAGTTGTGCTCACATCATGTCTGGTAGCCTTCCGAATTAACTGCGCCGCTGTCGCATTACACTACATCAGAAGCTACGTCGCTTTCTGACATGCGTCTTATAGGCTGCGCTGAACTGAGTCCTTAACTGGCATCGTTCATGTAATGCGGCACACGTTACTTGGAGGTTGTACTGGTCTTTGTACCCAGTTTCGTTTCAAGTCCGCTAAAGGGGTCCGTTAGCCCACTTGAGATTGAAGAAAGTGGGGCCGATCCTGGCACATTTGTCCTCATAAAATCTGAACCCATTGTCTTTTTCCTTATAATCAATCTGACGTGTCCCAAAACGCTCGACGTGAACCAGACAGCTGCCAGGTGACGAGCTACTGTCGTCCTCCCTGGAACGAGATTCAGGAATGTGATGGCTCCCTAACGCGGCCTTGGCAACGGTATAGAGAAGGACCCCACTTAATTGTCAGTAAGCTGTGGATCGTGTCATATGGGATTTTATCTGGGCACACATTTGCAGGCTGTCGCAGAAATTACACCGCCAACAACAATTAATTCCTACGACCTCACACCTTAACTCAAAATCCATTATTTTGTGAAACTTACTTTTTGTTTAATGTTTAATTACTACTCTCATTTCCGTTGTCGTACAAAAGCGTAGGATAAGACTTTCGGCGTAAATCCAGGCAATTTGTGTGTGTTCTTTCATTTTGTCAGCTTACTGTCTAGCGTGCTGTCCCACCCATAAAACTCCCTTTGCCATAAATAACGTGTGGCACGATCCACAGTCTACTGACAGTTAAGTGGGGTCCTTCTCCATACCGTTGCCGCAGCCTTCACCGATTGTTCAGTTAACTACGAGAAATAACTGGGGACTAGCTCTTGACCGCACATACTGCGAGCGCCGTGTTGTCCAAACAGACTGGGTTGCTCGCTGCATTGGAGACGCCGTTCGTTTGAAAAGGTCCCCATCGAAAGTTTTCGGATTCGTCAAACAAAGACTGTCAGATCTTTCAGTGGCCCAATTTCTGGCGCGCACTGGAAAGAAAACCCACGGTAGTCTGTTCCGGTACTCTGGGCAGGACTGGCAGACCGATGGGAGAGGCTGTCGTGAACTGGCACTCACACTGTGATGGTGCCATAGCAGGCCTTGATGACAGTGAGGATTTGCTACTAGAAGCGAAGAGGCGAGTTCTAGGAAGTGGTCGTGAAGAGGGCGACGCGATCGCTGGAAGAGGAGCTTTATTAGCTCGACGTTTCGGATTCTGACTCGAGTCTACCATCAGAGACAGAGTCAGGTAGGGGTAGTGGGCTGCCGATAATCCTGACCGGCAGGCAGCGCATAGCAACTGCATACTGCAAAACCTGGCCAGTCGGACCGTGATGCACCCGGGGGCTGCCAATTGTGATAGGCAGTCCACTACCCTTATCTGCCTCTGACGATGGAGAACCCTGACGAGTGCGAACCCTAAACGTCAGGCCAATAAGATTGTTGTTCCAGCGATCGTATCTCTGTGGCGGCCCAGCAGAGAGAATATGTGCTGCATGTGAGCTACAATCGTCAGGCCAAATTCCATGTTTGAAGGGAGAAGACAAAGGGGAACAGAATAAGGGGTTTATTGTGCACAGAACCCGGAGTTGTCCTCTCAGGCGACAGTGGCCACTGGCGAAGCCAGGGCTGGTGTTGACCGCGTCCAGTCAGGCCTGAGAGGCCCTGAGACAGTGGTGGCAGCCGCTTTTGTAGGCTCGTGGGCCAAGCTCAAGTGGTGTCCAGTCAGCGTGTGTTGTATTTCCCGAGGGGTGGTGTCCTAGTGGCTTGTTTTGCTGGTTGCAGGGGGTGGCGCGTTCAAGTGGCTGCGTGGGCAGCTGCGACTGCGCGGACGCAGGTATGCCCGAGCTGTTTGTTGGTCGTGTGACTTCAGGTCAGCTCGTCTGGGACGGCTCGCTGCAAGGGATGAATGACCTTGAGGCAGCGAGGTCTGGAACAATGACGCCAGACCGGTCATGATGTCTGGTCGCCACATCTCCTTCTTCGCGGCAGTAGAATTACTGGCCGTCATAACACAGGAGCTCCAGAGGACCGGAGTTTTAACGCAGTGGACAAGTCAACAAAACAGACGGTCACCAGTCCCCGGTAGTCATGACCGAATTCGAGAACCAATCACAGTGCACATGTTTGGTCGAAGTATCCATCTATAGCGCGGAGACCGGTCTGATTGGGCCTTTCCCTTAAATCAAATGAAATCGGAAACCGCATGAAAGTGATAATAGGAAAGACCTTTTTTCGATGTTGATTAAAGATGATCACACTTCGTCTTCAGTCCTGATGGCAGGATGGCCAAGCCCAAGTCATCAAGAAACGACCTCGCCTCTTCGCGCTTTTTCGATAATTGCAGCGTGTGTGCCCTCCTCTCCGCGCAGCTCATTCTTCGGCCTCAATACTGAGTCCATTATTTCTTCCATCAAGAGGGGACCTCGACACAGCATTGTCTGAAGAATGATAAAAGTACGTTTTCGAGGGGGAAGTAGCGGGTTGACCATGAAAACTAGGAACACACTGGAAGTGCTCAAGCTAAGCAGGGGTAACATTATCTGAGGACGATACATAAGACATAAATGACTAGGCCAGTGTCCCTCATCTTTGTTAGTAACAGGTTTCAAGTTCTATTCTCTGGCCGCTGTGATCCCACGCGTGTGCTCTAGATCCGGAGCTTCAGGACGAAACGGAAATGCACATTTGGGTCCTGCAACCGGTCAATGCTAACGTCACATGATCCTGCCGCGGACTCAGCTGACTGTCCCGAGTGTGTAAAAAGTACTAAAAGCCAGGCTCACCCTTGCTCCGGCCTTCCTTGGGCGAGCGGTCACTATCCAGACCATATAAATGGAGGGTGGATAATAAAGGTAGCAAATGAACGTATGGCAAGAAAGGAAAAATCTTGGGTCAACACAGGCTGACCTTGTCCACGTTAAGATGGTCGGAACAGGCAATATAAATATTTTTAGCGCCGACTCCAATTATGCGCGATTCAAGAACCTGCATTGCAGAGGAAACAGGCATAAGGATAGAATGGTCAGACGAAAAATAACGCGAGCAGAACAGCCTTCCGGGTGTCTCAGTAGTATTCGCTCTCCATGTAGAGCGCCCATGGTTGCGACCCTGCGTTCCTTTTAAATCAGCCTTAACCGGCGATTTCAATCCACAAGCCCTCGGTATTTGGTATCTTTTAGGACGATTGTGAT